CTCACACTGCCTTTTTATTTATTTATTCTCCCAGGAGATGGACAACCACAGGCTGACCTGGTTGCTGAAGTAGACAGTTCCAGTTATAATTATGACCATCTTAAAGGCATTGATCCAATTGCAGCAAACAGAATCCATCCAAATAACCATAGAAAAGTAGGTTTCTGAATTATTATGTACTGTCCTCTAGTTGTATGTAAATAGTGATTTGTGTGTTTGACCCTTTTCTGGTTTCTAAGGATATGCCGCAGTCTAGCAAATAGGACACTCAATTTAATGTTTCTGCTAGAGCCATTAAGCAATCAGTGATCGTGAATATGGGGTTGCCTTGAGGTTATCTAGGTTTCCCCGATTTTTGGACCATATATTGTGCATGTCAATATTATATATAGGCAGAAAATGTTGTACGGACATTATGCATGGTACGATAGTCTAATTTTAGATTTAACATCGTGTGCCTTTAGGGTGGTTCCAATTGCCAACTTTCTCTTCATATGTGGAAGTTATTGAATAGGTGATCAAATAGGGAAGTAGTGATGCCTTCAATTTAGATTGTCTTTTGAAGTAATCACTGTGTTACAAGTCAAGAACTTTATAAGTGTTTTCTTAGATTCTTTTTCTCTCAAATTGATACTTTTGGGTAAAGGTTACAAAAGATTTGACCCTTCAGTAGATAATCAGCGTGGAGTGGAGTAGTCCTTTTCGTTTAATAAATTTTTTGAATTGTGCCCTTAAGCGAGTTGTCACTCAGTAATTCAGAATTTTTGTTGTCCTAAATGGTTATTTAGGAGTCCTGTGTTTGATGTAATGAGTTGCAAAATTTTCTACTAGCTTTTATGTGCTGTTCATTTGTAAGTATGGTACACCTGATGCCTTGTAGCAGGCAGGTGTATTTCAGTGGCACATCTTATATGTGGTTGAATCTTTTGCAGATTAGTCAGTACCTTAGTCTGTATGCTCATCATGGTGTTCTCCCTAGCCAACTTCTCCAGGGAAAGGCTGCTGAAGTGTGTAATCTTCCTTTTCCTATTCTTAGTATATTCTGTGATATTCTAGTCTGTATGCAAATTTTAGTCTGTATTAATGTGATATATCTGCGTTTCACTGTCAAACTGAACCTTCTGTGTCCTTCCTAGAGAAGCTATGTTTGATTTTGTACAGGCCATTTACTATGTTTTTCCTTGGATTTTGACATGTCGTTTATGACGTAATTCTAGCTTGAGCATAATGCACCATTTCTGTTGTCCTTCATTTTGTTTAAACCAATGTGTTCACTGTCAAAGTTTGAATTGCAACAGGACTTGCTTATATAACTCCAAATTCCTGGTTGCTCATATATTAATTTTCTGATTTTTCTTGATTCATACTCTTCCCAATCTTAAAGGTGCAATATAATTGCTCTCGTGAACATTGAGATTGGACCTCCTTACATTGCCAATATACTAATATTGATAATAATATTAATAAGATGAAGCCAACATGATCTTTAATCTTGCATGCGGCTTGGCAGAACTGGGGTCGAGTTGATAATTTCAGATACAATTGCTGTTTTATATGCGTGGATGCTTCTCTCCCTGTGCTGGACCAATTTGTGGAACAAAGAGTAGATTGCATGATTGATGCTGGTTTGCTTAATGAAGTCTATGAAATTTTCACTCGGAATGCAGATTATACTCGAGGTCTGAGGCAGGCCATTGGGGTTCGGGAATTTGAATTTTTTTTGAGAGCTTACATTACTGAAGCCAATGATGAAGCACATAATTTGATAGATGAGTCGATGTCCTTGAAGTCAGTAGGCCTGCCTGATAAGATACTGAAGGAGAACATGAGGGTAATCCTTAAGTCCTTCAGTGACAGCCAACCCAAAATTGCGTTAAACGAAGCTATTGATAAAATGAAAATGAACACCCGAAGACTAGTTCGTCGTCAGGTAAATTGAATTTGTCACATATTTTACCCGAGTTTTTCATGTATGAATATCTGTTGAAATTCTTTTCTTCCTTTTCAATGGAGATGTTTACACCGTAGATAACATTCCACTGCCAAACTTTCTTAACTTCTGGCCGTTCTACTTTTTCGGTACAAGTACTCCCAATTTATGAACAAACCTTGTTTATTTGAGCACCTTTTCTGCCGTTATTCATCTACGGAAATCCTTCAATATTTCAAAGATTTATATGTTTAATGAACATGATGCCCTTGATATTTTCAGTGTTTTAACAAACCAATTCTAGATCTTTGGAGGTATAAGTTATCTCTTGCACTTCAAAAGTCTTTCCTCTTTGTTAAATTCCTTTGATCTCCCAAACTTTTTATGGAACCTAGTGGCTACCTGATAGTCACTAACCTAAGTTTTTTTTAAAATTAAAAAAAATAAAATATATTTATGTTATTTTAAAGAGAAGATATTGTGAATAATTGTAAGTCTTACAATGTTAATCAGTTCATGAAACAAAAGTGAGAATGCTTATAATGTAATTTGTTGTTCCACAGAAACGAAGGATAAACCGACTGGAGGCATTGTTTGGATGGAACATACATTTCCTTGATGCAACGAAATTCATATTATGTATGGCTTCTTGGGGCCTTTTCTTTGTCCTGCTATTTTTTGTTTGTTTGTTGTTTCTATGTTGTTCAGTGGGGCTGGAGCCTAATATTGCTCTTGTATGAACTTATCAACTAAACATTTTCTGCCCTTTTAAACCATATTGTAGGCAAATCAGATGATACATGGGCTGCAGAAGTGGTTGGACCTGCAGTGGACATGATTAGATCTTTCCTTAATTGGAATGCAAGTTCGGTGCCTGACTTGGATACCTCAAACAGCAGTGGGATGAATGTGATTCAGAGGGACTTATGGACTCAGTATACATGCAAGGTTAGGAATGGTTGAATTCCGAGTGGCACAGTATCTGTTCGTTAAATTCTCTATCCCTCATTTTTGTTTTTTTTATTGTTGGTTGTGCTTGTATACTGGTGGTTCAGTTGAGTTTGGCTAAGTTGGTATGCAAATGACTTTTCCATTGCTAGGCCTGTGGTGACAAGATCCTCAGGGGAGCACACGAGTGGGAACAACACAAGCAGGGCCGTGGCCATCGCAAACGAATGTCTCGGCTTAAAAAGTCTCAAGGATTTTTCTCAATGGAGCAGCAGTAGCCGCCTCAACATAGAGACAGCAGTTAGAGATCTTCAGTTTTCATTCTAGTATAACCCTGTTTTTTGACATTTTAAGGACTATAAAAGAAAAAAGAAGGCGTATATTTTAGCTGGGATGTAACGGTTTGTAATTCGCTCTACTGTGCCGGTGCAACATTAGAAACTATCAATGCAATGTAATGGTTTGTATTTCCTGTGGGTTGTTTCAACTGTTCAACATAAAATTGTCCCAAAAAACATGTTTCGAGCTGGAAAAATTTGCAGATGCTTGTTTTTTTTTTTTTTTTTGGTCGAAGAGAAGTTTTGAGAA